TGCTGAACCTTTTAAAACAAATCAATGTCAAAAATTGCTGAGTGATGTTTGCTCTACAAAATTTATCACTTGTACAACAATCAACCTACCCCAGAAGCATTTTCAACCCAGAAAAATGGCTAGGAATTTCTGGAAAACAGGCCCTGCATCTCTACTGTTCATTTGATGCAAAGTCAATCTGTCAACATAGAACAAATCTGATGTTTCTGCGATCCAGATTTCCTGCATTAATTTAGTTGTCCAGTCTTACTGTTTTTGAATTTACCATAAAAAGACAGTGTGCCACTCTCTAATACTGAAGATTTTTTTTTAGTATATACATCTGAAAACAACACTTAAGCTGGTCAAAGCAAAAAATGTACACCAGCTTACCACCTCAGCACTGTGTCCTCACTGCACAGCCAATGACTGGAGGATTAAAAGTGTAAGACTCCTTAGGTTTTCCCTGGAAAAAAAAAAAAAAAAAGTTTTATTTGTGTTCTTGTAATAATTCTAAGAAATATTGAAAATCTAAACTCTAAATTGAAATCCTAAATAATTCTAAGAACTAAAAGTTGGTTCATTGAAGGTATCTTTCACAAACAACCATGACTGCAAGTAGCATAACAAAACAAATTTTGTAGAGCAGCTATACTGTGAAACAGTAGAGTTCATAAAGTAAAAATAATGATCAGATATATTAAGTAATATAAATTCCATTTTTTATGGAATGCCAAGTGCATGTAGACAATGTCTTAATTAAAAACTTTCTTGACACATTACTAAAGCAATTGTCTTTCGAAGTACTACATTTAGTGCAAAAATCTTTTTCACAAGGAGAAGTGTCCTACTAGCTCATTAAAGGCCATTAAACACCAAGGAGTTAATAACAATGCCTGAAGTGCTTCCACAGACCTGATGCTAATCAGAATGCTGAATTACTTAAACACTTTGTGAAAACAGAATTGTTGCCTCAGGAATAGTAAAGCTAACCGCCCACATATGTCAGGCTAGTGTCAAGTCTCTAGGATGAATATCCATTCTAAGTCACTTATTTAACTTTTTCACATTAGAAGTCAGACTTAGGAAGGTTCTGTACACTACACAAGCCAAAACTGGTGGAAGTGTACTTCCTTTTCTGCATCTGCAGAATTCACTGTCCTGTAGACATTTCATTTCTGTTGCCAATTCAAATATTCTAGACAAATAACCGTCTACCTTTTCTTTCAAAACAAAGGATTTGTTGGAATAACGGGGTGAAAATGTTCCTTTTTTACTATATTTTTCATTACCATATTAAACAGGAATATCATCTTTCTGTTCATGATGACATTGTCATTTTGTTGTTGTTGTTGTTGTTAATTGTTATTATTGTTTTACAGTGTTTGAATGTTCTCCAAAAACATTCAATAATTGCTGAAATTTATGGTGTCAGTCTTTTTTCTCTCACCTTTTTTTAACATAAGAAGAGGTCTCAAAAAAATGAGAGAAACATACCAACATTTGTGGTTGAATATAAATAGAAAAGTTTACCAAAATTCAAGATCAGTGAGAACAGAATCCAGTTTTTTTTTTGTTTGTTTTGTTTAACACTGATGCTTAACACTGTTTATATTTTATTCCTGACACTTAAACTCCATGATTTTTCTTCCCACATAACCAGACCATGATAGATAAACACCTTATTCCTTTTTTACATCTCATTGATGACATTCAGAAGTCACAATATCACTAATGATTCAGGAAAAATAAAGAGTAAAGAAGCCATTTCTGACATATTTTAGGTGAAACAATCTTTGACTGAAAACATCATCAGTTTTGGCAGTTTTGGAGAGAATATTATTCTTTGAAATGCACTGCACAAGAGAAAGTGTCAAAAATATGAGTTTTGTACTAACCATACAATAGAATGTAGACTATATTTGTCATAGTTCGTCTATATGGCTATGTTAAATCTTTGTAATAAAGGCCTATATTTTATATGCAAGGTATTTTTACAGATGTCTTTCTAAGCAGAGAGATAGCACCTGCTTACATATTTAATGGAAAAATTCCAGGTAGAAACCATAGACATCATCACTAATTTGGACATTCATGACAAGCATTATTTATTGCTGTGCAGGTATCTTGTTATGTTTCTAAATGAGGAGGAGCTACGAGTTTGGTAAAACTTCATCTGACAAGTGCTGACTGACTCGGGAAAGACTGACTGGTTTTCCATGACCAGAATGGTGTTGCAATGTGAACAGTGACAACACTTTTCCTTTATAAATACTTTTCACTAAATATACGGTATATGCTGCAATAACTATGTCATTATTCATGTCTGATAAATCTGTTAGAATGTACTACAAGGGATTTGTTTTGTTTTTTTTTTTCCTTTTCTTTTCCTAAAAATTATAGATTATAAATTATAGATAAAACTAGAGCTTAGCTATTTTGAAGGAAATGAGAGAAATAATTAAGCTAAAGTAATGTTTACTGATTCTTCAGAAGTTTCTTTTGTGAGAGGGAAGAGAATTAAGGAGATACTGAAAAAAGACTTCAAACCTACTTTCTAATAATATACTCCCTGAAACAGAAAAATGTTTCAAGAAAATTTCAGCAAGATGTTGTGGCATAGATGTTGTGTCTTTAGAACAGTTTCTTTTCTCTTGGCTTGAAACTTAAACATTATGATGGGTTTTAAGATTTGTGGAATACAAAAGCCCAAGTGTGTAAAAGTCTAATCATCAAGATTCATGAACGTGCATAGAAAG